CTGAATGCCAATCTCAGATGCCCGCTCCTCTAAGCGACTCTTTTCCCTACATCTCCATGCCCGTTTTCCCTCAAACGGTCGCGCGTGTGCTGACTGCCCTCAACGCAGCCCCGCTAGGTCCCCCACGTTTGCATGTCAAGTGTTTCTATGAGTGCTTGTCCGGCTCTGATACCATATGACACGGACTTAGCTGGTTTTGCCTAAGTCGTGCGGCACCCTTGCGTGTCCGTCCGCAAAGGTCAGCCTCCCCGAAGACTCCCATTGTCCCTTAGGACCCACAAAAGAGAGAACAGGCAAAAGAGAACGCCTCAATTGGGATCCACAAGCAAACATGTCCGAAAAACACTTCATAGACAATGCAAATTACAAACAGACTTTACAAGCTCTGAACAGTGGCACAACAAAGGGTAAAATGGTCCATTACAGACCGAAAAGCTCTCTCACGTGTCCACATGACACAACCTTTATTTACAAGCCTAAAGAGGCCACCAACCCAACTAAAGTGGGACTATTAAGCCTTCGGCCGTCCCTCTACATTCTGTACAAGGCATGAACATGCCAAAAGACACGGACATATATAAGCATTACATCAAACACCCTGTTTCAAAGTTTGTCCGTGACAATAGGGCCCATGCCATCACATAGCCTGTATGTTGGTCAGCATGAATTTTATCAGCACGACCATCATGTTGACATACCACGAAAGAGAAAGTCATATTTGTGAGATATTTCAGTGGAGAACGATTGTTTTTTGTTCTTAGAGTTCCAAAAACCTTCTTGAATATTATTGCATGACTTAACTAAATTATGATCATATATAGTTTTTTTGGGCTTGACATAGAATGTGAGGGTGGTGGATATGGCTTTGTAGTTCGACAAAAAACAAGATACAAGGAACATGTGGCTGAACAGTAATGGAAATTCACCATTACTTGATGCTTCTGTATTTGAATGATCTAAAAAACTTGGATGTTTAACACAGCAAATATTATATGCAAAATTTAACAACAAAGAGTCTATCACCGTGTGCATGACATCTAAGTTTTTTGGGCGTCAATTTCAGGTATCTTCAACTGTTTATTTCTTACTTTTCCAAACATGACTTTATGTCACCGGTCATATGAAAGTTTGGTGACAGTTAATAGCTAATTTGCTGCCTTATAGAATTTATGGCATGATGATATGTAGAGTGGATGAAAGTTCATGAGCCACTTTTTTGCTGTTCGTTTAACTTTTATGTTGTTTTCTAGTAATTTCTTTTTATCCCTGAATATGTGAGTTTCAACCATACTGAATTATGTAGGCATATTTCTGCTATTTGTAATTATGCTTTATTTTCTTTTTATTATTTAGATCCACAAACCTGATTTATAAATACTTAAGATTCTTCTTAGGCGATAAGGAAAAACAGACACACATAAGATTTCTTGTATCAAATACAGCAGCTGGGTGTATTATTGGGAAGGGTGGATCGACAATAACTGAATTCCAGTCACAATCTGGAGCTCGTATTCAGCTATCACGGAATCATGAAGTCTTTCCGGGAACATCAGACAGAATTATACTTATTTCTGGGGTATTTAGTGAAGTAATGAAGGCAATGGAATTGATCCTGGAAAAGTTGCTCAGTGAGGTATGTATTTTACTTATAGTTCTCTACAAAAATTGTATTTTGTCTGAAGTTTTCTTTTCCAACATACAGGTGGAAGACAGTAATGATATTGAAAGTAGATCAAAAGTCAGGCTTGTTGTTCCTAATAGCTCATGTGGTGCCATAATTGGAAAAGGAGGATCAAGCATAAAGTATAGTCTTATTTAAGCACAGTATTCAATTGTTTGATGAAGAATTATGTTGTGATATTTGAAATTAGGAAAACATAAGTGGTTACTCTTAGGCAATGTTTGCATTTTTAAGTTGACACTAATTGCAGCACTAAGTGACTATTGAATTGAGAAAAGGCTAAGAACCGTAAAGCTAGTCTGAACGGATAGGATTGGCATCTTGATCCTTTTATTTATTTCAGATTGCTTGATCTGAATTGCAATATATTTTATCATTTCACTACGTATGCTCATCTCCTGTTTTTTGTGCCCGTACATTTAATTGACTAAAGGTAGTTGAGGCATGCCATTAATTTTTCAGGTCATTTATAGAAGACTCACGGGCTGGGATTAAGATATCTCCTCAGGATAACATTGCTGGCCTTAATGACAGGCTGGTTACCTTGACAGGGTCTTTTGAGGAGCAAATGCGTGCTATCTTTCTGATATTGTCAAAATTAATGGAAGATGCTCACTATCCACCAACATTCAACTCACCTTTTCCATATTCAGGTGTGTCTCCAGTGTTTGTCTACCCCTTCCTTACTGATGGCCTTTTTGTTATCATTAGTCAGTTCGTATATTCAATGAGATGCCCTTTGTTGCTAAATGTTCAAGCTGGATCTATGTTTAATTCTGTATTCTACTCACCTATTTGTTGTGTGAAGTCTCTTGACCTATTTTATGTATTGGTTCTGTTACATGTTTTACAGTATTTGTGAACTATGATATATCAGTTGTTTTACTCATGGATTGGATCGTGTCCTCATGACAATGGGTGTTCTCATGTCTAAGAAAGGCATAGGTTAAAAAATTCGAACTGGGATAAGAATCAATCAATACAAGTGATTTATGCATGATCAGACTGACAGGATTAAAATTGGTTGAGAAAGTAAATTAGAACTCAAAAAATATATATGTATATATTGTTTGAAGTTTTTAGTCATTTTACAATGTTTTACCTTTTTTTATATTTTAATGTTTGTTATATAATATTATTTTTTTAATTATTAAATTATTTAATTATTATATATTTTTCTGACATATGTTACAACTTATGTTTATATTAATTATAGTTATATATTGTAATATAATTATTATGAAAGTAAACATTAGTTTCATATTGGATATTATATCATTATATGTATAGTAAATTGTTTGATATAATGGTGTATACTATATTCTGCAACTATAGAAACATTAATTATGTTGTTTAACATATGTACTATATATAATTATTTATTATCTAATATATTATATAAATAATAAAATAACAAGGGATTTTGTTAGATTACATTATAATTCAGTTTTTTCAAAAGGCGCTCGGATGCTTGGCTAGGTGCTCGGGCGAGATGAGGTGAGGCTCAAGCACCTTGCAGAACCCCCAGGTGCAATGCTTCAATGAAGTGCTACTCGGGCGCTCGCTTGAGCCCAAGCGTCAAGCGCCTTGGGCGAGCGCCCAAGCCAAGTTTGGGACTCGAGTTCAATCGTTGGTTCAATTGGACTTATAAGTTGGTTTAATCGAACCAACATAGTCCAACCCCCTCCCTCGCCCGACTCAGTTAAAGAAAACAAAGGTGAAGAAACCCTACATTTGTCGCCTTTATTCGCTCTGCCAACCGTCGTCGGCAACCTCGTTCAATCTCATTCGCCGCTGCAGCTCAGTTGCTGTTGCTGCAACTCGTCTGTCGCTGCAGCTCGTCTGCCACTGCAGCTCGTCTAAACCCTAAACCTCTTCCACCACTATAACTTTGTTTGCTGTTGTAGGAGCTCTGTCCGCCACCGATGGCAACCTCTTCCATTGCCTTCGTTTGCCGCCTTTGCATGCTCTTTATGATGCTATAGCTCCGTCCGCCGTTGTCGACAACATCGTCTGCTACCTTCATCCGCCACTGCAGCTTCATCCATTCGCAGCTACAGTTTCGTTCACCGCCCTTTGCTTCCCCCACCTTCCTGTTAATTAAACTGCTTCATCGATTCCCTCATCTTCTTGTTAATTAAATTGCGAACGGACGAGCAGCAACTCGTTTGGAGCAGTTTAAATATATTTGTTGTATCTACAACACCATGAGCAATATGCACTTTGATTTATACGTGAAACACCCTTAGCTTTTACTTGATGATGTCTTAGAGCAGCAAAACATTCCTAGTTAACAAGATGCTTTGGAGCAGTTTAATTCTAACATAGGTCTTCATAAACATGTTGAGCATATTTTTATTTAGTTGTATAATATTTTAATTATAATATTCGGGAGCGGCTTGCTTTGCTCGGGTGGGTGCTTTGGCGAGCGCCTAGTGCCTCGGGTGTTTTGGGACTTTGGTGCCTAACATTTTTTAAATCACTGCATTATATATAATGTTACTGGTTAGCAATAAAAAATATATTAATTACATTGTAATTAAATAACTAAACCTTAATTAAGACTAACATTTAATATTTCTTACCTATCCACCCCTTCTTTCTCTCTCCTATATGGATCCTTTTTGAATCTGTTCGGTGATGCACTGGCAGCACATAAGTCTGCTGATGGCTGAAGCGGAGACAACCATGATGACCAGCAAAGAGCCACACTGATGGCTCTGAGCTCCAACGTTGGAAGGCCAGAAGCAGCAATGAAATTACTCCTGTTCAGTGTTTTGCAGGGGTAGTGCACAGATCCACTGCTGATTGGAAGTGATGATGACAAAGACAAATGGCAAGGTGACATACAAAGGGTAGTGACAAAGCAGTATGAAGCCATTGATGTTCAGATCTAGTCCTGTTTCCCCCATTTCTCCCCTCTTCTCCAGTGACTCCTCAAATTCCTTGGTCTGCTGCTCTGTATTTCTTCTCTTAATTAGACTTTTTTCTTCTGATCTACATTTTCTTTTTCTTTTTTTGCTCTTTAAACCATTTGGCTGTAATCAACCACTTTTGAGACCCCACATGTTGGCAGGCAAGAAAGGGAACTTGGCTGGGATCATTTGATTTTTTTTGTCAGTGTGGCTGATTCCAGCCACTTCTGGCTTATTACTGACTGCTTCTTGTTTGTGGTTCAGGTCAAGAATCATTTGAGTATTTAGTGTAAATTTTGGATACGTTAGTATTCCCAATTAGGGTAGAATTTTTTGCCAACTAATAAATCAGAATGTGTTAGGCTGGCTTCACTAATTGCTGTCATAAACTTCCATATAATAGTCCTGTAAGAACTCAAACATCTAGATGGAGGACTGGTTGCTGCTGGATAACGAAAATATTCATTTGGCAATTTATCTCACCAAATGGTATAATTTCAGGAGGGAAAATAGTGACATTTTGGAATGTAAGCAGGAATTAATTAACAGCAGAACTGTCTAGATTTTTGACTTAATTTGAGGCTCATGGTTAAGAAAAGATGTGGAGAGAAGATACGTACCTTTCCTTATTTCTGGTTTCTCTTTCATGAGTATGCTGTTTATACTTGTGTATTTAATTTGAAGATATGTGTTTTTCAAAACAGACCTAAACAAACAGCCCCCCCCACCCTATCACTTGCTATATGGGTAGAAGAAGAAGCAGGTATGAACTTAGATGGTTGAGGTTAAGTTTCTAAATGTAAAAGCACTATTTGCAATATATACAGCACTTGTTCAAGAAACAGTTATGAATGTAAAGAAAGATATTTATAAGGTAAATGAGTGTCAACACAATATGTTTATGTGGGTAGAAGAAGAAGCAGGTATCAACTTAGATGGTTTAGGTCAAGTTCTAAATGTGAAAGGACTGTTTTTAATATAAACAGCACTTGTTCAAGACACAGTTATTATTGTAAAGAAAGATATGTATAAGGTAAATGAGTGTCAACACAATATGTTTATGGGCCAGAAAACAATAATTTCTCTAATACAAAATGAACTCAACCTATATATGAGAATTATCTCTACTCTATTTTTTCTTTAATGGGACAATTGCATGTACAAGGTGTGGTACTTCTAGTTCTGTTAACTCCCAATATAGTCTTTGGCTTAAGTACCTTTTATTTCCTTCTTTTTCTTGTTGCATATGATTCTTCTCCATTATCTTAAATGCTTTGGTATTCTAACTCCATTATGATGGCAATTGAAAATTTTGTAAAACTTAAGCAAGCTTTATTGAGCTTTACTGGATTTGAATTATATAATTTGGTTTCTGAAGTTTTATATTAAAATATATTTGTAGTTAGTCATTAGTTCTGATGATTGTGCCTTTAGGATATTCTTTTCCAATTTTTTTGTTCGTTCATGACCAAATTTGTGACTTGAAATATTGCAGATTCTACCATGATCATCAGTATTAGGTTCAAAATTCCCATTCTCACCCTCTTTTTCACCTTTCAACGTTGATATTTATAGTTTCAGTGCACATATCATGATGAGCAACTTGTCTTTTAAGATGTTGCATTTGAGTCAATTATCTGAGTATGTCATGTTAATGATACCCATTAATTTGCCTTTTCTCCTATCTCATCTGGTACTTTAGGTGTTAACTTTCCTGGTTTTCCTGGCTTTCCTGTTGGCTACATGGTTCCTTCTGTAGCATACAGCCCTATTAGTTATGGATCAAATGGATCTGGAGGAAAATATCCAAGTAACAAGGTTAGAAATACTATCCTCTTATATACTAGTTTATGATTAAAACAAAGTATTGCATTTCATAGTCACTACCTTAATTTTAAAAGGTTTTGTTTCAATGGAGGAGCTTTTTTCATCTTGCTTGATAATTAATTTCTTAAATGTCAAGTATAGCTACAGGGATTGTGGTTGTGCCATTGTATGATAGATACATTGATGTGGATTGAGAACAATGGTGTTAGTGGCAAGCCTAGAATATATCCCATTTGGTGTGTCTAATACCAACTGTGTTGATTGGTATAACCCTAATTTTATGAAACCATACTAGCTCTGTGCTGGCAAAAGCATGCTGGTGACAAGGCTATGTCTTTACTTTTATACAAATTACAACTTTTCTGGTTTCTAAATATGTATAGTCATGTTTCCTTCAGTTGCAAGATTAGAAAGCCTGGTTTTAGATTCATGTGTCTTGGCTAATAATGCGTTAATTGTTTGGCAGGGTGTGGCATCACCTGTGGTTCCACATCCATCACAGTCACCTGGTGGGCCTCTTGAAGGCCAGAGCAATTCAGTAACAATTGCAATTGCAGATGAACATATTGGTGCTGTTGTTGGTCGTGGGGGAAGAAACATAATGGAGATAAGTCAGGTTTGAAATAGTACCACCACACTTTTATGTCAATTTCTGCTTTGATATGAGCTCAATCCAGTTAAGTAGATTCTCTTCTAATTTTGATGCTTTGATTAAATGGATATAAGTCCATATATATAGATGATTGATCAAATATATTTCTGTTGGTAAAGATATTCATTGAACAGAAAATTGTTTTACAATCTGACACACAGCAATCTCTATTAATACGTGGCAACCTCTCGTCACCTGATATCTGCTAACATTGAATGAACTACAAGACTGTCAGTTATGTTGGTTTTAAGATGGTAGTTTAGTTGATGCTGGTTTTGGTGTGATATTATTTTATGACCGTCAGTTGTGATTGATGAATGCCAAACTTTGTTGTTGTTGAAAAATGCCAATTTCCAGGTCAGTGGAGCAAGGATCAAGATATCAGATAGAGGTGATTTCATTATGGGCACTTCAGATAGGTAGTGAAGCTCTCGGATTCCTTTTCTTCTAGGTCCATCTTCTTCTTAACACAGATTTTTTACTATATGATTTGCAATCGAATATACAGGAAAGTAACAATAACTGGATCACCAGAAGCAATCCGTGCTGCTGAGGCTCTGATTATGCAAAAAGTTTCATCTAATTCTGAGAGATGATAAAGCTTTTTTTTTTTGGTTTAGGGAATGTCAGCTGCATAGTCTGGATAGTTTCTTTAGGATGCCTTAATGGGAGAATCGTATTCTTTCATGCAGTAATTTTGAATGTGTTTGGCATACTGGTATTGCGACATGCGTACTCTTTGATGCAAAATGGAAGAAATGCGTTATTTCCTATATCTCTGCATGAGTCATCTTGTGACATATTTTCTGGGAACTTCCTTTGTGTTTGAAGAATTTCCAAGAAATGTGGATTCGTTATCGATGATGCTTGGTTTTGCCCGTGAACGACTAGGCAAATTTTTCAAAAAATTGCTCCATCCTTGAGGAGGGTGCCCTCGGCCCCCTTCTTTTGTCTCTTGGATTCTAAGACTTATGTTAGAGGAGCACCTTCTCACGTTTACTTGTCGCTTTGGTCTCTCGTCGTCACTCGATCAAGGAAGTAGAGCAACTCGAGGAGGCACATGACGATTCTTGAAGTGGTGGGCCATTGGGGGAGGGCGAGGAAGTCTCAACTTGTGGTTGCATTCTTTCTTCCACTCAGCCTCTTTCCTCTTTGTCGAGATCGACGATCATGATGTGTGGGGAGGGCTTGATGGTCGATGAGGCCTTGCGGTAGGGCAGAGGATGAGGGTGCGATGACGACAGTAACGATGGATAAGGATGAGGGTGCGCTTGAGGTGGAGGTGACCATAGGGAGTTAATGCAAAGGGTGAGGCCTCGTGGTGGGACGAGCATGATCACGATGGGGCAAAAGCGACGACTTGAGGTAGTTTTATCTTTAAGAAATAAGTGACGTCTTATGAGAATAAAACAAAAAGGGCAGAAAAAGTGAAAACTTGAGAATTTTTTCTAATAAGTGTTGAATCTCGGATTTTGATGAGGTAATCAATTGGTAAATTAATAATCTAATCCATGTGTTGAGATAAGTGATGTATGATTAACTATGATCGTGAGAAAGATAACATGATTAAAGAAGAATCGAAGTTGGGTCGGGGTCAATGATCGGGCATCGGGCCGGATGAATCGGGGGATACACCGAAGGATCGTTGATACAGTGAAAGCTCGTCGGAAGTTCGTCGAAAGCTTATCGGAAGTTCGCCGGGAGGTTCACCGAAAGCTCGTCGAAAGATTGATACCAGGGAGGGTAAAATGCAGAATGGATTTCGAAAGAAAACCGATGCAACCGTTTCTCAGATAGAAAATGTCATAGTAGACAAAGAATGAACTCTTGAAGAAATGTTGCAGTACAGTTGTATTTACTGGAATGAGTGTTTTGAATAGAAAAAGCACAAACTCATGATAAAACTTAAAGAAGATAAAAAAATAGTTCACCACCAAGTTAAAATCACAAAGGGATACATAAATTCACCACTCAAGGACACATCCAAGAGATACATAGTTTAAGGAAGTTCTCCAAGAGAGCTTCTGCTAAGATATTATCAGTTTCTAAAGTTCTTTCTAAGTCCAAAACACCAAAATAAATACTAGTGCATGAAACAATCCTTCATGCATAGGGAATTTCGAAATTAAGTGTTTACAGCTACTAACTAACTCCTTTAATACATTCCTTGGTTATGAAGACATGTTCACAGCTGCTAACCAACTCCTTTAATGCATTCCTTTGTCATGAAGAAAAGTACCTTGAAACAGCTTTAACTTTGTGTAGGGAATATGCTGATGAGCTGGCATATTTGAGTGGGCTGAGTTAAAGATTATGAGGCATCATTGTTGGCTGAAAAAAATACTATATCATAATCAAGGTTCATATGATTAGATTGTAGTAAATTAGATATTCCTGTGTCAATCTCTCCTGGTTGAAAAAGACATATCCTCCTCAAGTCCTTGTTTGATTCATCAACATAATTATAAAAAGGACTTAAATCAGCCACATTAAATGTTAGGGATACTCCGTAATCTTCAGGTAGCTTAGTTTCATAAGCATTTTTGTCAATTCTCTTAAGCACTTTGAAAGGACCATCAGCCTTTGGTTTTAATTTTTCAAATTTGCCCGATGGAAACCTCTCCTTCCTTAGATGAATCCAGACCAAATCACCTACATTAAACTCCACATGTTTTCTATGTTTGTTGGCAGCATGCATGTACCTCTCATTTTGCTTCTCAATGGTTGCTTTCACACCCTCATACAGCTTCTTTATCTACTTAGCTCTTTCATCAGCATCTCCACTAAATTGCTTTGTTGTAGAATGAGGGATTAAGTCCAAAGGACTAGCAGGATTAGCACCATAAACAACCTCAAAAGGACTCTTATCGATACTATGATGGATAGAACGATTGTAGGTAAACTCAATTTGTAGAAGAATGAGATCTTATTGCTTAATATTCTTGCCAACATAGCTTCTAAGCAAATTTCCTAAGCTTCTGTTCGTTACCTCAGTTTGTCCATCAATTTGTGGATGATGCGAGTTGCTGAAATTCAAAGAAGTACCTAGCTTCCTCCAAAGAGTTCTCAAAAAATGACTAATAAATTTTGAATCTTGATCAAACACCATAGTTCTTGGAATACCATGCAATTTAACAATCTTATTAAAATATAAATCAGCAATATGAGATGCATCATTCGATTTATTGCAAGGAACAGCATCATTCGATTTATTACAAGGAATAAATTGAGACATTTTTAAAAATCTGTCAATAACCATAATAGAATCCTTATTCCTTTGAGTTCTTGGCAATCCCAAAATGAAATTAAGACTCACTTCCTCCCATGGAGCATTTGTCACAGGCAATGGAGTGTACAATCCATAATTTTGACTTCTTGTTTTTGCCAAATGACACACTCGACATTGCTTTACATGTCTTTCCACATCTCTAAACATCTTAGGCCAATTGAAGTTTGATTGAATAAGAGCTAAAGTCTTATCTCTACCGAAATGTCCACCCAAAACACCACCATGAGCTTCAGCTAGAATTACTTGTCTCAAAGAACAAAATGGAACACATAAAGCATTAGCTTGAAAAAGAAAACCATCAAGGATAGAAAATTTTTAAAAGGAACTTGATTTGCAATTATGTCATATTGAGCCGAAATCCACATCATTCTCATAGAGATCTTTAAACGTCTCAAATCCAACAACTTTAACTTATATTACTGATAATAAAGAATGCTTTCTGCTCAATGCGTCAGTAACCACATTTTGAATACCAGATTTGTGCTTAACTGTAAAGTTACAAGATTGCAAAAACTCCACCCAAGCTGCATGCCTCTTGTTTAGGTTGTGTTGGTGATTTATGAACTTTAATGCTTCATGATCTGAATATAGCACAAATGACTTGGCAAGAAGGTACTGACTCTAATGAGATAAAGCTCGATATATGTCATAGAACTCTTTATCATAGGTAGAATATTTCCTTCTTATATCATTCAACTTCTCACTAAAAAATACAATCGACTTTCCATCTTGACTCAAAACAGCACCAATTCCCACATTAGATGCATCACATTTAATCTCAAACACATTGTCAAAATTTGGTAGAACTAAGATAGGAGCTTCGGTCACCATTCTTTTTAAAAGCTCAAAAGCATCATTAGCCTAATTAGTCCATTTGAATTTATTACATTTCAGACATTCGGTGATTGGAGCGACAATAGAACTGAAATTCTTGATAAATATTCTGTAAAAAGAAGTTAAGCCATGGAAACTCCTCACATCATGTAATGAAGCAGGTGTTGGCCAACTGAGAATAGCTTCTATCTTAGATCCATCATGATTCCATCTTTTGAAACAACATACCCCAAAAATACAACACTAGATTTACAGAAATCACACTTCGTTAGATTAGCATAAAGCTTTTGCTGCCTCAAAATAAGAAAGATTTCTTTCAAATGATTCATATGCTCCTCTTCGCTCTTGTTTTACACCAATATATCATCAAAGTAAACTACAACAAATATTTCAATGCATGGCTTAAGTATGTGATTCATAAATCTCATGAAAGTGCTAGGAGCATTAGATAACCCAAATGACATAACCAACCATTCATATGAGCCTTCTCTAGTTTTAAATGCTGTTTTTCACTCATCTTTAGGCCTCATTCTTATTTGGTGATAGCCACTCCTCAAATCAATTTTAGAGAAAATAAAATCACCACATAATTGATCAAGTAAATCATCTAACCTTGGAATAGGAAAACGATAATCCACTGTGATTTTGTTGATGGTGCGATTGTCAACGTACATTCTTTAAGAACCATCGTTCTTAGGCACCAACAAGGCGGAAACTACACAAGGACTCATGCTCTCTCGAATTAACCCCTTTTTCACCAATTCATCAACTTGCCTTTGAAGTTCTTCATGCTCCTTGGGACTCATTCTGTATGCTGCCTTATTAGGTAGAACAACCCCCGGAATAAGATCAATGTGATGTTGAATGTCTCTTAAAGGTGGAAGGCCATGTGGAATCTCTTTTAGTATAACATCTTGAAATTCCTCTAGGATTGATTGCATGATTTCCAGTGTCTCCTTATGTTGTTCATTCTCCTCTACTACCATTAGGGTTAAAACATGACGACTCTTGTCTAATTCACATTTGCATTCACCATAAGACATAAAAGCACTAACTTCCTTCTTTGGTGCACTGATTTCGGAAGGTTGTAATGGAGCTAAGATAATCTTCTTTTCATTCACCTTAAAAGAATAAGTATGTTTATAACCATCATACAACACCCTTCTATCATAATGTCAAGGTCTTCCCAACAGCAAATGACAAGCATCCATAGGAGCAACATCACACCACACTTCAGCTTAATAATACTTGCCAATAGAAAATGAAACTAAATTTCTTTTTGTTACCTTGATGTCATTTCCTTTTTGCAACCAACATAATTGGTATGGATGTGGATGAGAGATGGTATCCAACTTCAGCTTCTGTACCATCTCCAAAGAAACCACATTCTCAAAACTATCGTTGTCGATGATCACCAAGCACACCTTGCCAAGAGAAGTGCATTTAGTGTGAAACACATTTTTTCGCACCCAACTTTCATCATCGGCCACGTAAGACACTTGCAAGCTACGTTGCAATACAATAGACAAACCATGATCTACATAAGTAACGTCTTCCTCATCTTCATCATATTTTGGTTCGTCGTTAGCTTCGTCTTCTCCTCCATCACTATGATCTTCAACCAAAGTTACAATTCTCCTATTTGGATAATCT